CTGAAGCAAAGTTCTTAACCTGAAGCACTATTTCTGGGTTAGCGGAGTCTGTAACCTGAAGCGTATGTAACTTGAGGTACCACTGCACCATATCTGATTCAGACAATGATTACAATCCAGGAACTATTCATTCCTTTTCGAGTCAGTGGATTTCCTCCAGCAAGCATATCATGCCTTGATTACATCAAATTTACTCTTCTGTCTTTCTTGAAAAATATAAGTCCCCCTCTTTCAGCAAGGTCAGATTTGAGGGGTACAAGATGAGACTGAAGACCTAGAACCCGCTAGTCCTTTTTTAAAAACAACAACACCTGCCACCATTGCAGTCCATACTCCAGCACCACATCATGGAAACAAGCCCATATACAGAGTCCAGATGTCTAAATATTTGTCTTCCTATTGATGAAGCTTCTAACAGGCCACTTTCTCAAATGCTGCTAACTCATTAAGACTTGCAGCCCACTGCATAATTGGTGTTAATGTTCTGCCTTTCCAATGTTGGAGCACAAACTGCTTTGCTATGATGAGCTAGATTCCTTAGTATTGGTAAATAATTCGTCAACATATTCTCCTGTTTTAACATTTCTACATCTCTCTGCCTTTCTTGTTTCATGGATCTTGTCTGCTTGCAGACCTTTTTTAGTCTATTTCATTCGTATAACATGTACAGTATGTACAAAAAGGGCATCAGCACACAAAAATATACGTTCAGAAACACAGAACGCAAAATCATTAAGAAGCAAAAGTACCAACTACTAATACTAGTGAGACAGAACAGAACAGAAAAGAGGAAAAGAAAGGAAAGTTTGAAGAACACAAGGAGACAAAGGGGCAAATAAATTCAACATTTCTTCCAAATAAAATCACACTTGGTTGGAATTAAGCGATTCATCATGCGAGTGTTCCTATAGGTCAAAAGAAAGGTCCCTGGTTGCAAATCCCATGAGGCCTGAAATCTAGTGTTTTGCATGTGAACTCTTCCACTTCCTGGTTTTATTTCTCCATTGCTAAGATTGGCCTTCAATACTGTGCCTCGTATTCCAGTACAGTGGTACCTCGGGTTAAGTACTTGTTCCGGAGGTCCAGTGGCGTAGCGTGGGGGGTGCAGGGGGGGCCAGCCGCACCAGGCGCAACATCTGGGGTTAGGGCAAATCCACGGGTTAGGGGGTGCAAATCCATGGGTTAGGGGGCGCAAATCCACGGGTTAGGGGGTGCAAATTACTTGCCTTGCCCCGGGTTCTGACAACCCACGCTACGCCACTGCGGAGGTCCGTTCTTAACCTGAAACTGTTCTTAATGTGAAGCACCACTTTAGCTAATTGGGCCTCCCACTGCCGCCACGCCGCCGTGTGATTTCTGTTCTCATACTGAAGCAAAGTTCTTAACCCGAAGTAATATTTCTGGGTTAGCGGAGTCTGTAACCTGAAGCGTATGTAACCCGAGGTACCACTGTACTGTACTAAGTAGCTATATAGACTCTACTTTCTGTCTCCGCAATAGTAATATAATAGCCTGCACAACCTTTAATTGTACTCTTTTGTACGGTTTTGGTTTAAGAACGGACTTCTGGAACGGATTATGTTCATAAACCAAGGTACCACTGTATAAGTGTAAGATATGGGTTCATAGGTACTTCTGCACTGGTGCCTGAACAGATCAGATAGCAATATCTAACGTTGTGTCAACAGGTCTTCTTGCACAAAGCTGCTTTACAGTTCCTTCCTCCCCAGTGCAGCCCCTTATGACCCCAGAAAAGCCTCTATGAGGTTTTTGGGGACCCCAGGAAACTCCTGGGATGTTACAAGGAAGGGATTGCAGAAGGAGGAGAAATCACCCAAAATCAAGCGGGGGGGGGGGGGCAGCACGCTTGAGCAGAAAGTTGTTGTAAATAAATATTAGCATCATTTCCTAGCATCTTCCTGGTGAGGTCTTCAATTCACTGAACACTTTCCCTAAAATGAAAAACAGCAACTTTGGGGAGGGCAATTTATATCTAGAAAACAGGATTAAGTGTCCTACGCAGCACCAGGTCCTCCTAACCCACGTCATTCTTCCACCTTACAGCTGCTATTTGCCAAAGTGTAGAGATGGGAGGTATGCTTTTGAATTATGGTGCTGGAGGAGACTCTTGAGAGTCCCATGGACTGCAAGATGATCAAACCTATCCATTCTGAAGAAAATCAGCCCTGAGTGCTCACTGGAAGGATAGATCGTGAAGCTGAGACTCCAGTACTTTGGCCACCTCATGAGAAGACTCCCTGGAAAAGACCCTGATGCTGGGAAAGATGGAGGGCACAAGGAGAAGGGGAAGACAGAGGACGAGATCATAGAATCATAGAATCATAGAGTTGGAATAGACCACAAGGGCCATCGAGTCCAACCCCCTGCCAAGCAGGAAGCATGGTTGGATAGTGTTCTCGAAACTACCAGCATGAGTTTGACCAAACTGCGGGAGGCAGTGGAAGACAGAAGTGCCTGCAGTGCTCTGGTCCATGGGGTCACGAAAAGTCAGACACGACTAAACGACTAAACAACAACAACAACAAGAGATGGGAGGTATAACTGATCTTGACCCAATTGTTTTAATTACCTTTTAAAAACTGTTTGGTTGTGATGTGGCAGTGGCCCAAAGAGCCACGATAAATGTGATTATGAGTACCCCTGTAAATCCTTGAGTGTGCTTCTAATAGAGAAGTTATGGTAGCTTGTTACTTTATGAAACTGATGATTTTGCAAGTTGCCGTCCCCCATTGGGGCAGAAATACAGCTAATATGTGAATCCCAAAGCTACAGCTCAAAGCTAGAACATAAGTTGCTACATGGTGCAAATGGCCACACGTAACACATGTTCCCAACATGCACACTAACACAATGTAACAAAATATGGTCGGAATCAGAACTTAATCAGTAGAAATTGCCAGTGCTTATTGCACATGTGTATTAAACATGAAATGAGGTTATGATGTACAGTGGTACCTCAGGTTAAGTACTTAATTCGTTCCGGAGGTCCGTTCTTAACCTGAAACTGTTCTTAACCTGAAGCACCACTTTAGCTAATGGGGCCTCCCACTGCTGCTGCGCCGCCGGAGCACGATTTCTGTTCTCAACCTTGCAGCAAAGTTCTTAACCTGAAGCACTATTTCTGGGTTAGCGGAGTCTGTAACCTGAAGCGTATGTAACCTGAAGCGCCTGTAACCTGAGGTACCACTGTATATGATTGGTGGAAACTGAAATGCTTTGTTTGAAATTTTATAAATACCACTGCCTCGACCACTGGGCAGGGTTGCAGTTTTGCAGAACGATCCGACTGTAACCTATTGCTTTGCAATAAACAACACTGGACTCACATTTCTGAGTTTTATTGGCGTAAACTCAGGAGATAAGCTATTTTCTGGCTTACAACAGTGATGCTATTTCATGTGCTTGTTTTACTGTATATTTTAAGTATGGGTGTTTTTAATGTTCTGATGGTATTTGGTTTATTGTGCATTTTAATTACATATGGATTTTATACTTGATTTCATGCTTGTAAACCTGCTAAAGTCACTTCTGACTAAACCCCACTAGAACCAGTGGAGAAGGAAGCCATGATGAATTTACAGCACAATCCTAATCCTGTCTACTCAGAAGTCAGTCCTATTTAGTTGCAGGTATTGCAGCTTAAATTCTATTGCTTTTGGTGGATCTAAAATGAAATAGAGACCAGCAATTATTATGGTTTAATTTATAAATCGCTTACATGCCATAATGTGCTCTCCCAGATAGACTGCAGCCATCTTTCATCGTGATCAGTCAGTTCAATAAGAGGAAATATGAGATAGTGAAAAGCCATGCAGTTCTAATAATCCAATCGTAGAATCATAGAATTGTCGAGTTGGGAGACCGAGGGTCATCTAGTCCAACCCCTTGCAATGAAGGAATCTCAACTAAAGCATAACAGAGTCATAAAAGACACCCGCCTGACAGCCATCTGCCTCAAAGTGCAATTAGATGTAGTGCACTTTAACTGAGGAAAATCTCATGCAGTTAATCCGCAAGGGAGTAAATATGCAAAAAAAAAAGAATATATATGGCTACAAACAGAAGGGCGTGATAGAGGCTTATAAAGCAATAAACTGGAGGGAATTAATAGAAAGGAATAGAGACTAATTTTCCATTCTCATAATATTAAAACTCAAGGCCATCCAATAAAATACTAGCATCAGATGTAGGATATATAAAAAAGTACTTATTCATACATCACAAAATAGCTTTAAAAATTGGTAACTGCAAGGCTCGCCGGTCATTAGCTATCTTTAAAAAAGTATTAGACCAATGATCTATGGAGAATGTATATGTCAAAGAGTATTGGCTATAGTAGCTTTAAAAATAATATATAGTAGCTTTAAAAATAGTGTGTGAGTGTGTGTGCGTGCGCATACACATACTCTGTTCCTCCATAAAACATTTTACAAGGACAGGTCATATATATATGAAAAACTAGAACAGAATCCTAAAAGGCACCTGTCTGACAAGCATCTGCCTAAAAGTGCAATGAGATGTAGTGCACTTTAACTGAGGGGAATCTCATGCAGTTAATCCGCAAGGGAGGAACGGAGTAAATACGTGAAAAAAGAAAAAGCATATATATATGCTATTTCCATATATATATATATATATATATGGAAATATATATATATGGAAATATATCCACATATATATATATGGATACACACACACACACATATATATATACACACATATCCATATATATATATATATATATATATATATATATATATATACACACACACACACACACACACACACACACACACACACACACATATGCATGCTTCGGATTGTAAGCCTGTACATATCACAAGTAGGCAAAAGACCAGTGACTTTTGCTTCCGAGGACTTTCGCCAGCGGAACGTTTTTTTCCGGGGGCGGCGTTTCCCACGGAACCTCTTTCCGCCCGCGCCCCCGGCTCCCCTCCGTTGCCCGGCAACGCCTCGGCTTGAGATGGGGCGAGGCGCGTGTGCGTCGCTGAAACCCGTCCGCCCGCTGCGCCAACCCCACCTGCGGCGGCTGGAGGGGCGTCGAGGAGAGCGGAGCCCCCGTCCCCGGCTCCCGGGAAGGGGAACCATGCTGGGCCAGGACGGCGGCCTCTCGCTGACCATCGCCCAGATCGTGCAGAGGCTGAAGGGCTCCGGACTCCACGCCCAGCTGGAGCGACAGGCCCGGGTGAGCTGGCCGCCTCCTTTCTTCTCTCTCAGCATCCTTCCTGCCTCCTCGGTCCCCTCGCGCCCTGCCCCTTCCTCGCCCTTCTCCTCTTCCTCCCCTTTAGCTTTTTTTTTTTTTAATAATTTCAATTCTCTGTTGAAAATGTTTCAGTTAAAATAAAAGTGAGAAGAAAATAAAATAAAAAAGAAACAAAAGGCAGCTTGGGGGGAAAAACCCCACTGTCATTCTAACACAACAGTATGTAAATGAAATTATTGGGGGGGAAACCCATTGTCATTCCAACACAGCAGTATGTAAATGAAATTATTGGGAAAAGACCCCACTGTCATTCCAACACAACAGTATGTAAATGAAATTATTGGGAAAAGACCCCACTGTCATTCCAACACAACAGTATGTAAATTAAATTATTCGGGGAAAACCCCACTGTCATTCCAACACAACAGTATGTAAATGAAATTATTGGGAAAAGACCCCATTGTCATTCCAACACAGCAGTATGTAAATGAAATTATTGGGAAAAGACCCCACTGTCATTCCAACTCAACAGTATGTAAATGAAATTATTGTTCTTTTTTTGTATATAATTTTTATTGAATTTCCTGTTTTACACTTTAAAAAACTAATTTTTACATCCATGAGATATTGATGACTTCCATTCTTCTCTTTCCATGGTTCATTATTTTACGTATCATAAATCCCAGCATATTTTGCAAAAACGATACTATTCAGCATTCCATTATTATATCCATTTTTAAATGTACACAATTTTCACCCAAATAATCCATAAACATTTTCCAGTCTTCTTTACATACGGTTAATTTTACATGGTTCATTTTATTTTATTTTATTTTATTTGCTCAACACACAGTAAAAAAAGACAAAAGAAACCATAGTGAAAGTACCATCAGTCGCACCTTACGTAGAGAAATAAAAGTTTGATAATCCTTGAACTGTAATTCTTTATATTTAATTTTACACATCGTAAATCCCTGCATATTTTATAAAAATTATACCATTCAGTATTCCATTATTGCAACTATATCTATATCTATATCTCCAGTGCTTTTTTCTAAAAAATACACACGTTTAGGGGTACTCTCATTTTCCTACTCATATTGAAATACTGCCCCTCAATGAGGCCAAACTTAGATTCACAAAATGTTTAGGGGTATGTGTACCCCTGTGTCCCCCAAGAAACCCCCCCTCTGTATATATCTATATAATTTTATAATTAAATTTTCTGTTTTACAATTTAAAATACTCATTTTAGCTCCTTAAGATACCAATGACTTCCATTCTTCTCTTTCCATGGTTCTTTTTGCATATTATAAATTCCTGCATATTTTACAAAAACTGTACCATTCAGAATTCTATTACATCGACACTGTTCAATTTATCTTAATGCTACCAATGTTTTTTAATGTACACAGTTTTCACCCAGATAATCCGTAAACATTTTCCAATCTTCTTTAAATGTATGTTCTTCTTCTTCTCTTATTCTATATGTTAAATCTGCAAGTTGGGCGTATTCCATCAGTTTAATTTGCCATTATTCTTTGGTAGGGACCTCACTCGTTTTCCATTTTTGGGCTAACAAAACATGTGCCGCAGGAGTAGCATACATAAATACAGTGGTACCTCGGGTTACATACACTTCAGGTTACAGATGCTTCAGGTTACAGACTCCGCTAATCCAGAAATACTACCTCAGGTTAAGAACTTTGCTTCAGAATGAGAACAGAAATCGTGCAGTGGCGGTGCAGCGGCAGCAGGAGGCCCCATTAGCTAAAGTTTCAGGTTAAGAACGGACCTCCGAAACGAATTAAGTACGTAACCAGAGGTACCACTGTAGTCTTTTTTGACACCTGGGAATTTCCATCTGAATTATCCCCCAAAGAAAGGACTCTGTTTTTGGTTTTTTTGTTTCGGAAAAGTACTTTTAAACATTTTTTTCAATTCATTATGGATTATTTCCCAATACTCTTTTACCCTTTCCCCTGTGGCAGCAGTGGGAGGCCCCATTAGCTAAAGTGGTACCTCAGGTTAAGAACAGTTTCAGGTTAAAAACGGACTTCCAGAACAAATTAAGTTATTAACCCAAGGTACCACTGTATTGTCTCCCCCCCCCCCGCCTTGAATTTTAAAGGTGTGGCTTATATTCAGGCCAATGTGGTATATATCTTTGGTACAAGAAGCCTTAAAAGTCAGTTTTGCTTGATATGTATTTGTTCTTGGATGCCTCAAGCAGAAAAAACAGGTTTTCTTTACCTTTGTGTTCAGCTTTATAGTCATAGGGTTTCTTCTTCTTTTAATCTGAGACATGTAAATATGGGTAAACTTTTTGAAGTTGAGAGAATATGTTTGGAAACATTGTCACCACTGTCACTGATGAATCTAAGCAACCTAATAAAATTACGAAGGTTGAGATCTAATGTAGTTTGAGTGGGCTCCCACTCACGCAGTGGGACTCTCCACCATCCTGCAGTCTCCTGTGCACCCCTAAAATCTGTTGGGAAGGGTTGGGGGCCCCTCAAGCAGATTCATGACGTACACAGGGACTGGAGCAGGAAGGCGAGAAACGGCAAGTCCCTTTGCACAAGCAGATTTCTTTTTTTCAAGAATCATAGAATCATAGAGTTGGAATAGACCACAAGGGCCATCGAGTCCAACCCCCTGCCAAGCAGGAAACACCATCAGAGCACTCCTGACATATGATTGTCAAGCCTCTGCTTAAAGACCTCCAAAGAAGGAGACTCCACCACACTCCTTGGCAGCAAATTCCACTGTCGAACAGCTTTTACTGTCAGGAAGTTCTTCCTAATGTTTAGGTGGAATCTTCTTTCTTGTAGTTTGGATCCATTGCTCCGTGTCCGCTTCTCTGGAGCAGCAGAAAACAACCTTTCTCCCTCCTCTATATGACATCCTTTTATATATTTGAACATGGCTATCATATCACCCCTTAACCTCCTCTTCTCCAGGCTAACATGCCCAGCTCCCTTAGCTGTTCCTCATAAGGCATCGTTTCCAGGCCTTTGACCATTTTGGTTGCCCTCCTCTGGACACGTTCCAGTTTGTCAGTGTCCTTCTTGAACTGTGGTGCCCAGAACTGGACATAGTACTCCAGGTGAGGTCTGACCAGAGCAGAATACAGTGGCACTATTACTTCCCTTGATCTAGAAGAAGGTGGACATTACTGGATTATCCCAGAGTAATGAGCCTTCATCTGCCAATGGTACCTCCAATGCATTTTCTGACCTGTTTTATACATGTTATATATTCTGTTTTATGTATGTTATATAGTCTTCCTGTAATTAAGGCCATTGATTAATTTGTGATAATTTCCCCTTATGTTAAAATTAGGAGATACTGTTCTTACTGAAGAATTTGTCTAGTTATAGTAGCTGGACCCAATTCTTCCTTTAATGTGTTTCTTCTTAGTTTACTTGTTATTAATGTTTCATAAACATTGTAACTTACAGATGGTAAACCTTTTGCTGATATCCCTGCAATTTTGTTTGCTATCGTTCACTACTTCCTTCTTTTAGTTTAGAGTGCTACCTGCTACCAATTTTAAGTCAGGGGGTATTTATTTACATGAGCTGCAATAAATACCTGTTATTGCTTTTCATTACCACAGCAGTAACTATTTACAGTCATTCCCTGCTCTCCCTCATTTGTCTCCTGAAGCATCTCCTATTAGAAGGATAATCTTTTCCTCAGATGAAATCTGCGGTGTAGAAAATGATAATATTTACAATACACCTTTATGTTGAAATTTATAGCAAATAACACACCCTGAAGCATAATACCTGATAAATTAAGAAATAAAGTAACATTGTTGTCTTTATTAGTTAGTTGCCAGCTGATAGATGCTATATGTTTACAGCACAAAACAAGTAACACTAAGTTGAGTACCAATTTGTGGTGCTTCAAAAGTATGTATAAGAGATGGCTATTAGTAATGTATATGTGAAATACTTTATATATTTGTTTCCTTGTTGATAGCTAGCAACATGAAGGACTCCAGACACTTCAGATAATCTTTGAATTTATTTCATTTTTCTGATACTCAAAATGATTTATGTATGAGTGAGAGAGCTAGCTTTTTAAAAAAAAATTAAGCTATTTTCCATTTCATCAGCTTGGATGTTTTTCTTAAACATGAAAAGTGCTCCCTTCTGGCACATCATTCTTTCCACAGCTAGGATGCATAATTTAATTGACAAGTCAAATCAGATGTCCAGGACATTCAGTCCTTTATAATATCTCATATATGATGGTTCACAACATTTACTGTCCTGCTCTTTGTTTTAGTAGTTTACCTACTTAGAAACAATTTTGTTTGGTAAAAAATTGTGTATTGCAAAATTAGAAGGAAAAGTCCTAGAAAGGAAACTGTTTAGATATTTCAGACATTTGATCACTTAACTTCAAATGGTCACAAAGATGCAGACAGAAAAAATTATGGCCATAATTTCATAGGAGCCTTTCATTGCCGGTTCCCCTTCACACCTTCCAATTGATCAAAGTAAAAACATTCCTTTGACTTTGCTCATAGTGGCTGTGTTAGCATGTCATGTTAAGCCATAATTGATATTTAACTATGATTTAATGTGAATGAGCTGTGTGCTGGTGCACATTCATGATGCTCAGAAGTCCCTGCTTCACTCTTACCTTGCTCCTAGCTCTGCTGCACAGACATTTACAAACCTCATGCCTAGGCTTGTGACATCTTGTGGAGTTGTTTGTGATGCAGCACAATACATTTTGCAGGTTTCAACATTTGCTATACCTTAAGAATATTTAGGGTATTTTTTCCCAATATATCTATAGCTGTTTTTATTAAACTTTTAAAATTTTAATTTTTCTAAAGAATGCTTACGCTTCTGACTTTTTTTTAATCTTTTATGTTAGCTCAGTCTACACAATCCAGAAATTAAGCTAGAATCCTTGAAGGAAGATATTAAGGAATTTCTGAAGACATCAGGTTTGTTCTTTAGTTTGTTACCTTTTAAAGTCTTTTAAGCAAACCCAGCCAGGCGGGCGAGGTATAAATAATAAAATTATTATTATTATTATTTAGCCTGCCTCACTGCTGAATATTGGGGCAGCATCCATGTACTTGAAGCTTGCTTTACCCCTGTATTGTAAATAAATTTGCCAGTGTTACTGGCACACAGATCTTGACTAGTCACTTACAGCAAGAGTAAACACCTGAAAGGAAAAACAAACAGCCAGTTCTTTTCCAGTTTCCAAACTACCAGTGGCGGACCTTGGGGTCTCAAATTTTAGCGGCAGCCTCTCATGTTCCAGTCTACTTCATAGCTGTGGTGCCCTCAAGGCTCTGTGCCCAGTGCGACCGAACCAGTCACACGCCCCTTAATTTGACTCTGGAGCTCCTCTGCCTGCCAGCTCGCTTGTACAGTCTTCTAGCCACATAATCTTGTGCTGAGGCAGATGGTTTGCATGCTAACAGTATGCGCTGATGTCATGTGCAGTTAGGGCCACAACCTTGAGTTGGAATCCCATGCATTTACTTAGAAGTACCGTATTTTTCGCTCTGTAGGACGCACCGGACCATAGGATGCACCAGACCATAGGAGCGGGAGAACAGGGGAAAAAAAATTCCCCCCCTCTGCTCAGTGCCCCTTCAGCGAAGCGGCAGGAGAAACGGAGCCCTTTCCATTTCTCCTCCTGCTTCGCTGAAGGGGCGCTGCGCAGAGAGGGAAAACTGTGCAGCGCCTCTCCAGCAAAGCGAAGCCTGGAGAGCAAGAGGGATTGGTGTGCACCGACACCTCTCACTCTCCAGGCTTCAGGCAGCTATCCGCAAGCCTTTGGAGCACAGCGGGAACTCCTGCTGCGCTCTGAAGACTTGCGGATAGCTGCCTGAAGCCCCTGGAGCACAGCGAGAGTTCCCGCTGCGCTCCGGGGGCTTCAGGCGGTTTCAGCGAAAGCAACGCGAAGCCTCCAGAGCGCGGGGGGAGCTCTCTGCGCTTCGGAGGCTTCGCGTTGCTATCGCTGAAGCCAAGGAGCCTGCATTCACTCCATAAGATGCACACACATTTCCCCTTAATTTTTGAAGGGGAAAAACGTGTGTCTTATAGAGCGAAAAATACGGTAAATTCTGTGGGTGCAAGGGAACTTATCTGCTGAGCTAATGTGTTTAGGATTGGGGTTTTAGTCTGCAATCTATAAAACAAATACTATGGGGTAGTACTGTTAAGCAATTTTGGAATAAATGAGCAGGGGGCTTGTGCTTTTAAAGTGCTTTTGGTAGTGGAACCTCTGTATGCTTACTTCACTTCAAAGGTTTTTACTCCCAAGTGCACATAGAAGTTTGATGGTATTTTTTATAATATGAGTTCCTCTAACTTTCATTTTCTAACCTCTTATTTTACCAGGATGGGAAAAGAAGCTGCAAAATGCTGTTTATAGTGAACTCAGTGTGTGAGTTTGTTTTTGTTTGCATTTCCAGAGATGGGGAATAGTCTTTCTTGTCTTCCTATCTGCATGCATTATTTGTAATATCACTTAATGTGTACATCAAAGAAGGCCCAGCCAGATCCTTTTTCAATCTGCAATGGATTATAATTTTTGCTTTGTGTAGAGAATGCTGCAGAAATGAATAGGGAAATGGCACAAAAGAGACATACTGCTTTTTTGTTTTAATCATCTTAATAAAAGTAGAGATGGTTTTGCTGGCGGATGAAAGGTTGGTCTCTAATTCAGTGTATTTTGATGAAGTCTGGCTGTAATAGTAGTGTCCAATCAGACTTTGTTTAGCCAATTTATTCCCTATTAAATGGCTCTTATTTTCTCACTATAGCTTTTATTTATGTAGACCAATTATAGCACCACAAGCTTCACTCTGAAGCTTGAAATGCTGTCAGTATTAAGTGAGTGGATACCTCAGAGGTTTCGGAGTTATCTTTCACTTAATGCTGGAAGAGTTTTTCAGCCTGGAGGGAGGGGTGGGGCTAGCCGCGAGTTGGGTGTAAGCAATGTTACAGTTGTTGTGGGGAGAAGAGGACAATTCCACCCTAACATCTTAGCTATGGGGGGATATGTTTCCCAAGTCGAACAACCTGGCAATCTCAGATGTCTAGTGGCGTGGTACTATGGCTTGATGTGTTAGGAAATATATACTGAATAGTCATGACTTGAACCAGGCATAGGCAAACTCGGACCTCCAGATGTATTGGGACTTCAACTCCCATCATCCCTAGCTAACAGGACCAGTGGTGAGGGATGATGGGAATTGTAGTCTCAAAACATCTGGAGGGCCGAGTTTGCCTATGCCTGACTTGAACCATGGTATTAGACTTGCTTCGTTTGAACATAATTCTGACAGAGTACCAGGAGACTCTTTTAGTGATGGAGTAAGAAATAAATTCACTCCCTGCCTCCCCTTTCAAGTATGTTTTGCTGTTTTAAGTTTTTTTTTTAATGGATATGCAATCCAAAAAAGGCTGAAATTATCTGGTATTATGACTGTGCATGTGTCTGAGTGGCCCATCGTGGGTTTGTTTTTCCAGTAAATTATTATATTTTGTTCAACACAGAGTTAAGTAATGGGATGTAGTAATGTTTCACAAGGCTGGTGGCCGTGAATGGAGAATGATTGCTTGTTATCTCATTAGTGTCTCTGAAAATGATTGTGGTGGTGATGCACTCAATCTTTTAGCATTAACTCTGAAGAGAGAATCAAAGTAATAAATGGAGTAAAAACAAAACCTGTTGTTGCTTTCCTTCTCAAGGTTCCCTTTACCATGCCACCCATCAGCCCCTCCTGAACACACCAAAGAATCTTTGGCTTACATGAGGAAAGCCCAGGTTTGCTGTGATTTAATTTTACTATTTGTATTTAAGTATTAGTTACAGATAGGTAGCCGTGTTGGTCTGCCATAGTCAAAACAAAAAAAATTCCTTCCAGTAGCACCTTAAAGACCAACTAAGTTAGTTCTTGGTATGAGCTTTCGTGTGCATGTGTATCTGAAGAAGTGTGCATGCACACGAAAGCTCATACCAAGAACTAACTTAGTTGGTCTTTAAGGTGCTACTGGAAGGAATTTTTTTTGTTTTATTTAAGTATTGTTATACATACTGTATTTGTATACAGTTTTAACAGGGACGTGGGTAGCGCTGTGGTCTAAACCACTGAGCCTCTTGGGTTTGCTGATCAGAAGGTCGGCGCTTTGAATCCCCACGATGGGGCGAGCTCCCTTTGCTTTGTCCCAGCTCCTGCCAACCTAGCAGTTCGAAAGCACGTCAAAGTGCAAGTAGATAGATAGGTACTGCTCCGGTGGGAAGGTAAACGGCATTTCCGTGCACTGCGCTGGTTCGCCAGAAGCGGCTTAGTCATGCTGGCCACATGACCCGGAAGCTGTACCCCGGCTCCCTCGGCCAATAAAGCAAGATGAGCGCCACAACCCCAGAGTCGGTCACGACTGGACCTAATGGTCAGGGGTCCCTTTACCTTTACCTAATGTTGATCAGAGGGATGGAGCATCTTTCTCCTGCTCCGATCAAGGCTATAGTCTTCTTAATCCCCCTGATCTAAGCTATGGCTTTTTTTAAAAAGGTAATGTTTATATAGAGAAAAATTCCAATCTCCTCCACAAATTACTCAATGGCTTTTGTGAACAGCATGGTAAACCATATCCGTGACGGTTGGGAACAGTAACTAGGCCAAGCCAAGTTGCTGTCAGCCCCCTCAAGACAGTTTGGTGGTAGCTATTCAGTGGGTGCATTGCCTGTTTGAGGAAGTACGGCCATATATCATATAATATATTTTGTTTTTCTTGGTGTTTGGTGTTAATTGACTCTAACTGTTTCATATTTCATGGTGCTGCAAGTCAGTGCACTTTTTTTGTATAAAATGTCAAATAAATGAAATTGTTATTGTCTTTTTTTATTTATTAAACAGTTAAGCTAAAAAGCAAAACGCCAATTAAAAATTAAAAATAGATGGAAAGATGGAAAGGTTATATTGATTTGTGTCATCTGTTGCAGGGAAACTGGGAAAAACGCATTCTGAAGAGCCTCAATAGTATGTGTACAGAACTCGGCATTCCATTAGCACAAAAGGTAGCTTTGTTAATTAGTTTTACTGTGAATGCTGCACTTAGGCAAAGCTAGTCCTAATTTAATGGGGTGGGGGTGGATTTTTAATCCATGTTATTAAATGCTAACAGAAACTTTTGCTTTTGGTTCTTGGTTGGCTTATTGCAAAAGGCATTTTTTTTTAATGATTTACAGAGATCAATCAATGAGCAAAAGGAACTTCTAAGTAAATGGAATGAAATGGGAACAGATGAGCCAGGTATGTGAACCATACTTTATACAAATTTGACTTTATTTAGTTGTGCCCCAGTGCTGATAGAGAGGCTTTTTAATTTTTTTATCTGATCCATTTACATAACACTCTTAATTTAGAAAATGCCAGAGTGGTTCACAAATAATAAAATAAAATACAGAATCACATAACAAAATTAAGATATAAAAATCATTGCAATGTTAAATCAGCAGCAAGATAAAACATTCCTAGAAAGGTTCCCTGTGCCTGGTTTAACAGCGATTTCAAAAAGACCTGAAGGCCAGAGTAGAAAGGTAATTATCTAACATAACTGGATTGACCTCCTGTGAATCTATTGTGGTTGGCCTTAGGGTTCCATTGACCCTGAAGAAAGGTTGGAACCAACCAGCCCCCTAGAAAGTGCAGCTCAAGAGCTTTCTTTGCCGCTGCCAATGCCATCTGGTAGGCGCGATTATGTGCTTGCACCCACACTCTGTCATATTCACTGTAAGATTTCCACCGCCTGCATTCTAGTTATCATCTGCCCTTGCTATCTTGCTCTCTGAGAAACCCAGGGACCTGCCCTGGCTCCATAGTGGCAGAGACGACAGGGGCTTCTGTAAGTAGAAAGGGAGGGGAAACACAAATTCCTCCTTTCCCCCCTGCATCTCCCGAGCCACTCCCCATCCTGTTCCAAAGGTTCCTCAACCCTTTGTAGGTGATGGTGTGCAGAGGGAAGGGGAAAGAGTGAAAATAATAATAATAATAATTTTATTTATATCCCGCCCTCCCCAGCCGAAGCCAGGCTCAGAGCAGCTAACAATAGTAAAGTAATACAGCATTCTAAAATCAATTGATTCTAAAATCAGTTCAAAATCAAATTAATGACAACCATTGGGCTAGAGTTCTGTGAGGATTACCAAGGGGGGGGTATAAAATTCCCCCACCTTTCCCATTTCTGCTCATGGAAGCCTTCACCAGTTCACAAAGCCTTCTGTCAGTGAATGTCAGGGACTGGGCAAAGGAGAAATGGTGGAGACCACCTCTCCAGCCTGGCCCTTCCAGGGAAGAAGAAGAAGACAGTTCAGAATTACAACAGGGGTTTGAGGGAGGTCACAGCTCAGAAAGATAAGGGGAAAAGCTGGGAAATGATGGGAGAGGAGGAGAAGAAGAAGAAGCACCAGGGGGGAGACAGCTGACAAGACTCAGTGTCTTTAGAAAGCATTCCAGACCCCGCTTCCCAGAATCTGGCGGGCCTTGAAAGTAGGAGAGCAAAGAGCTCAAAGGCAGAGGGCACTTTTCAGCACCCATAGTGACACATGAGGAAGTGAGAGAGACAGAGAGAGATTCACTCAGGACAACACCATTATTCCCAAGCTTCTCTGTGAATATTGAGTATAAGCAGATGGTAAGGACTTTCCCTTGTATTGTCCGTTCCTGGCAACCTGCCGTGGGGGTTGGTTCCTCTGCTGCCTGACATTGATGGGACACAAATTAATAGATCTCATTGATATCATTCAGTACTTTGTACTTCAGCAGTGTAGTGTAAATGTGCACGTGTAAGCCTAACAAATTTTATAATGAAAATATTACAAAAGTGCTTGGGCCACAGAAGCGCATTGCCTCCTGATCCACTCCCAAGAGACAGCCCAGAAGGATACCATGGCATCTAAAGCTGCTGAGAGGTCCAGCTCAGCTAATGGAGTTGCACTTCCATTTTCCATCTTTGTGTGCAGGTTACCCTACAAGGGTGAGAAAGTTGCTTCAAATCTCAAACTCAGAGTGGAAAGCAGTCTGCTGAAGGTCCAGCTTGGCAGCCCTACAGCCACATGTGGCTTTCAGCTTAATTTCAAAAGCCTCTGGGTCTTACTATCATTATAATAATAATTTATTATTTATACCCTGCTCATCTGGCTGGGTTTCCCCAGCCACTCTGGGTGGCTCCCAACAGAATATTAAAAACAATAAAACATCAAACATTACAAACTGCCCTAAACAGGGCTGCCTTCAGAGGTCTTCTAAAAGTCAGATAGTTGTTTATTTCCTTGACATCTGAGGGGAGGGCATTCCACAGGGCAGGCGCCACTACCAAGAAGGCCCTCTGCCTGGTTCCCTGTAACCTCACTTCTCTCAGCGAGGGAACCACAAGAAGAACCTTGGAACTGGACCTCAGTGTCCGGGCTGAATGATGGGGATGGAGACTCTCCTTCAGGTATACTGTGCCGAGGCCATTTTATACTTTCTTGGTGAGATGAAATTTATAAGGGATTCCAACGTTCACCATTGAGCATTACCAAAACGTCATAAAACAGTGAGCAAGCTTTTGAGTTTTTCAGAACACTTCATTAGACTAGATTCTCTAAAACAGGGTGGAGATTAAGCTGTAGTTAAATCCATGATATCTGCATTTAGTTTTGTACCCTAAGGTTCATAACCGTTTTTGGATCATGGACCCCTTTGAGAATCTGATGAAAGCTGTGGACCACTCCCGATATTTTTTTCCACAAAGACAATTCTTTTTAATCAAATAACTTTATGTATCTTATTAATTTCAGATCTAAGTCTCTTCAGGCCCGTTTACGCACCTAAAGATTTTCTTGAGGTAATAAAAAAATGAAGTTAGATCTTCAATTATGTATTTATACAATAAAATATGAAGGGTCTTATTGGAGTTATGAAGTTCATATAGACTTTGCCAGTTCAAAGCGACGGCTTAAACTACAGGCATGGTTATGGAAGTAAAATGGGGAAACAAGGACTGGGGAATATCTAAAAGCCAAAAAGGTTTGTGGTGTTCCTCTATGGCAGGTGTAGGGAAACACAGGCTTGGAGGCTGAATTTCATCTCTGACTGGCTTCAGCATTCTCGCTTGGCCACTTCCTACACCAGCCCTGTTTCAAACCCTCCTTGAACGTTTTTGCCATAAATTCCATTAACTGGGCCGGATTCAGCTAAAGCCTCTCCTCCTTCCGGAGGGGAGGGGTTGTGAGCGGGACCAGATCCTCGCGTCATGCAGGGGGCGTTCTGCCCCCTGCCCTGCCATCATCGCTGGCGCGCCACGCCTCCCAGCTGGGCACCCAATTGGGAGACACTGCGGGGGCGTGGTTTAGCCGCTCAAATGCGGCCGCGCCAGCTCTCCCCGGCATTGCGCTGCCAATTTTCCCCACCACTCCCTTTAGTGCGTAGCTTCTCGCTTGACCTTGCTATGGACCCATGGTTGGTTGCCCTGGTTGCCCAGGGGGCCTGGTAGGAGTTTTTCCCAATTGGCAAATTGGCACCGGCCACTTGGTTTTTCACCTACCTTGTAGCAATCGTCACAACTTTCCTGGTATTTGGCGGTTAGGCATTGGAATGTGTTGTTGGTGTCTGGAAGGGCAAGGTGTGGCCATCGCCTACCCATTCAAATCTGGGTATTCCGTTAAAGGAATCCGGCGGTCGTGGATCCTGTCCGATGCCCTGTGTGGCGGGGGGCCATGGCACAACCCCCGGTGACATCAGGGGAGAGCTTATAGTTGTATTTGCATCAACAGGCTCCCCCTACTGGTGGTTAACCCCTCATCAGACTCACCCCTCTCCGAGTGGGTGGAGTCAAATTTGCTCTTGTCCAATGCCTAAGCCAATACCTCTCACATACTGTAATCAATAAAGTTGTGGCCTTTTCTAGCCCATTAACCTAATATACTGTGTCCACGTGTCTTTATTAGCCCAAAGCGGGGGACGGGTACTCGAATCACAACCTGGCATGCTAGTGGAAGACAGTGCAAGGTTTCCTGCTAGTGCAATGGGCTTACTCCTCCCCTTCTCCTTTCCCGCCCCGCAAAAAATAGCTCAGCCAGATCTGGATGGGCCAGGAAAACCCTCAGAACAGTGGGTGAGGGGAGACGGGAGATTTTTCCCTCTAGCAAGCAGAAATGCTTTCACTGCTGGAACAATCAAATTAGTGCAAAGTTGAATTCCACCTAGTAAGCTTTAACTCGTAATTTGGGCACAGACTAAAGAAATGAAACAGACGTTTAGCAATTCAGTCAGCTTGTGTGTCAGCGTTCAAATTCTGCTCAACTGTAAGAATCGCAGTTCAAGAGTCTGTTGCACAGTAGTCTGTCAATATAAGGACTGCATTTCATCAGATGGGAAAGTTGGCCGCAGAACATGGACAGAGGCCATTTTTGATGATCCTCCTTGCCCCTCCAGTGCCCTGAACCCCCTCTGCAACATCCCCCAAGTCTTCCCCAAACCCCTAAAGCAGATTGAGATGAAACATGGGTGATTTCCCCCCTGTATGGCTGACAGATTCACCACTGGATCCCACCCATTGTGTCTTGTATCCCTGTTCTTGTATTACTTCATTGTATCCTAGGTCAGTAGTTTCACACTTTCTCTGTTCATTAAACCACATTCATATTGCCAAGGCAAATTCCCAAACAACATTTGGCTCATGCATGGCAGTGGCCAAGCTTTCTGGATCCCACCATAACACTGCATAGATTGCATTGTTGTACATTGTAGCTACACACTGCAGGGAGAAAAGCAATAGTGGTGATTAGTGGAAATGCTTTTCACAAAAGCTTCCCTGTCATTACGAATCTTCTTAGAGGTTAGTTTCCAAGGGACTTTCATGGCTCCCAGAACAGTTTGACAATCCATGTCCTCAATCTTTTCGTCTAGCTAAAGGATAACACAGAGTGCCCCTTTGGGGACCCCCCTCCCGTGTGTTTGCCCTGCCCCCATATTTAAGGTCATGTGTGCTTGTTTTACCATGTGAGAGAGGTCTAAATCCAGTTGTACAAGGAAGAAAGTGACATATTTTAATGAGAAGAGAAGGAAACAACTACTAAAATCCAAATTGAAAAGCACGAGCAGAAGAAACCTGAACCAGTGGCTACAGAATTGATTGATAGAGCTTTTGAACCTGAAAATAGTATGGTATCTTATTTTCCAATAACTATTTCCGTATGGCAGTGTAAATCTGTATTAGCTTGCCTAATAAAAACAACAGAACAGAAAGCAAGCGTATGGATATGCCGTTTGTAAAGGTAAATGAAAGTCTCATACTTGAAAAATTCCCTTGTGTAAATAGGAATTTCTTTCCACTTTAGCATTGCAAATGCCATTAGTTTGGTTGACTCGTATCATAGCTTAATTTGCATATATTAATGAACATTCTATTGCACTCATGCAAATGTAGATAGAAGGCTTGCGTTGCGAGCCTGAACTATTGAACTTTATATGTTGTTGGGTTGTTTTTTATTTTGCTGGTGGCTTGAATTATAATGTAACTATAGCATTTATCTGCAATTAAGGCTAATTAAATCTGTCTCAGTTTAACCTTATGAAAACACTTTGCATAAGTAAACAGTGCTTTGTTATGTCTCTTGTGTTTTCTATTGTTTCTTGACATCTCTTGACATTCTTTGAATGTTAACCTTTTAGTGCTTGGCCTGCATCTACAAATTTATATTCAGTCCATAATCCTGTATTAACTCCGAGAAATTATTCATGTACAAGCTGGAGTGTTTCATATAAACAAAAGAGACCAGATGAAAAACCTACAGCAGACTCTTCCTGTCTCTTTAACCTTGTCTTTACACAGCACAAGTCCAGAGATGCATGAACACTAAGCTTCCTAGGACCATAGCATGCAAACAGAAATATTTGACAGTAGCTTACTGTGATGAATGAACATGAGAACATAAGAACAGCCTGCTTGATCAGGCCAATAGAAAACCCTAACTTGTATTGCTTTTCTTAAAGGTATTGATGAACCTTCGCAATCCGAATTATGAAAACAGTGAGCAGCCTAGTTTTAGAAACCACCTGGGATTAATTCAGGTGCCACTGAAAGTGAAGGACATCCCTGAACTGGTAATAATAATTATCTTTAAATATCATTCATTCAAAAGAATTTCTAAAATAGTAGAAACAAGTATATATGAACAAAAGAGCTAGATTTTCTTAACTGTGAGATACTGAACATTCACAGTTCCTGTTTGGGCCTTCAGATAGGTTGCATTGTTTTCAGTGGGTGTTCTTGTCATTTGCTTTATTGTGACCTCTGCCTGCTTAGTGCTCTGAAAACATTTTGGAGGGGAGAATGTGGAAAGGACACTTGGAGGGTGGGGGAATAATTTGGGTTTACTGAGCTCTGGCCGAGCAAAGGACCCAAGTCCTTGTGTTGAAGGAAGAAGCAGAATAGCAGAATGAGCAATTTACATCCAGGGGCAATGTGAGTTTCCTGGTGGAAATTTCCCCACTACTTTGTATGTTTAAATAATGCCCTACAGCAGCAGTTCCCAATCAGCTAATTACTGTGAACCCCCTATTTTTCAAAAGCCAAGCCACGGACCCCCTACTTTTTAAAATAACTTTATGGTTGTGACCTCTGCAAAGCAATTTTTGGAACAAAATGTGGGGTAACCCAAAATATGCAAAGGATTTTAGGTATGCTAAAAAAAGAACAGACTAGGGCTGAGCGATATCTGGTTTTCAGCATCGTGATATATCAGTAGCTAAACATTGCGATATTCCGATATATCACGATGTCTGAAATGGGAGGTCAGGCGTGGGCATGAGGGAAGGAGCAGTCACAGAGATCGGGCGGGTTTGGTACGTGCAGCTCAGGCGTGGGAATAAGAGAAGGGGCAGCCACGGAGTTTGGATGGTTGGGGGGAGGAGAGAAAGTGGAGTCACCTCACTGCATGGTATGAGTGGGAGGGGATGGGGATAGCCACCGTCAGTGGAGCAGCTAGCAAAGAGCATGTCCACTGCGGCTGCCACTGCTTTCCTGCTGACTGAGAAGAGCTGGTCCGCCTCAGTGCCAGGGGAAGGTAGTGACACGATGCCTTGAAGTGAGGATGATCAGCTGCCCTGGTCTCCATCAGCATGAGGGGAAGGCAGCACCTTGCAATTGGCTACCCTGGTCTCCTTCAGTGTGAGGGAAGGCAGCTCAGATCGGCAGCGTCATCAGCGGAGATCATTGGTGGTGCCTTGAAATCAGCTGCCCTGCTCTCCCCTCGCTCAAGGAGCTACAAAGTGCTGCGTGTTGCTGGGTGTCAGGGACCATGCTGCAAAGGGCTGCACTGAGGAGGAATGGTGAGAGCCTCCCCCTGCTCCTGCTCCAGATCCTGAATCTCCCCAGGAGCAGGAGGACAATATAGATTTGGAACAGCGGTTTGCAGAGGGACATAGTTCAGAAGGCAGAAGCTGGGATATACTGGATGGGGAACAGCTAGGAGAGGAAACACTGGAAGGGAGAAGGTTAACAGATTCACAGACAGCATTCTTCCACCACCCTCCCCAAAATCGAGAAGGGCTCAGAAAGTGGCAGAACAGAAACCACAGAGGGGGCAAGCTCAGATTACGAGACGTAGAAGTGACGTAGATTCATAGGGACCGAAGGGGGCGGGCTCTTTAATTGGGAGCACCACCATTACTAGAAGATGTGTTCTTTGTTCTCTCGCTGTGGTTATTAAAGTTTCTAACTGGTAAGAAGACTCCTTTTTCTTTGTTCTGCTTATCTACGGCCACAAGGGAGGGAGCTGATTCCCCAAAGCCTGACACTGGGTCAAAATCGTTATTGCGGTGTGATTTCAAAACCGATTTTGGCCAATATATTGAAAAATTGCACAGCAGTAAAACAGATCATAACATTTGTGATATTGCCCCTAATTGGCAACCACTGCCCTACAGAATACTAGGTGACATAATGCTTGGGATGTGGCTGAAATCAAGTTGGGAGTCCTGCTCATAACATGCTGTGCCCACTGCAATACTGCTCATAAGAAATCTTAACAGGGTACCCACATAGTCGAGCCTCTCTGCTTTTAATTCTTGCCTCATTCCTAAGTCAGAGGACTGGGCTAGATGACAATTATAGTATACCGTATTTTTTGCTCTATAAGACTTACTTTTGCCCTCCTAAAAAGTAAGGGGAAATGTGTGTGCGTCTTATGGAGCGAATGCAGGCTGTGCAGCTATCACAGAAACCAGAACAGCAAGAGGGATTGCTGCTTTCACTGCGCAGCGATCCCTCTTGCTGTTCTGGCTTCTGAGATTCAGATTTTTTTTTCTTGTTTTCCTCCTCCAAAAACTAGGTGCGTCTTGTGGGCTGGTGCGTCTTATAGAGCGAAAAATACAGTAGATCATATTTCTAATTGATAGCAATTTGGAGTTTTGTTGACAACTAATTAAAATTTAAAGAAATATCCTTTGCTGATAAAATATTTGTGGGCTTTTTGTACATTTTTTCTCAAGAAAGAATATTTCAATGAGCTAGACTTGAACACAAGCCAGCTGGATATTGATGATTCTGCACATGTGCCTCCAGGTTAGTGCCTTTGTTTAAAGTAGTAAAATTGTTCTTGGTTCTTACGAGGATTTGTGTGAGATATAGATGCTAACGTCTGTTCCAATGACAATTCTTGTGCCCTTATTTGCACTGTGGTAGGAATAGATTTGGCAAGTATAACTTGTATGGTAATGATAGCAGGAAAAGCCAAAACTTACTGAGTACAGTATCTTCATTCCTGGAGCCCTCTCTTGGTCGGAATTTGGCTAAATTTTAAAACACTGCTTTTATAAAAGCAAATGTGAGAAGCCTGATTTGGAAAATAGCAGATCCTAGACTGAATGTAAATCTTTTAGTCCAAAAAAGTTAGGATTAATTGTTACTGAGGTAGTAAGCTTTGGTCTTACTACCTTGAATTACTACTTTGAATTATGGTGCTGGAGGAGACTCTTGAGAGTCCCATGGACTGCAAGAAGATCAAACCTATTCATTCTGAAGGAAATCAGCCCTGAGTGCTCACTGGAAGGACAGATCCTGAAGCTGAGGCTCCAATACTTTGGCCACCTCATGAGAAGAGAAGACTCCCTGGAAAAGACCCTGATGTTGGGAAAGATGGAGGGCACAAGGAGAAGGGGACAACAGAGGACAAGATGGTTGGACAGTGTTCTCGAAGCTACCAGCATGAGTTTGACCAAACTGCGGGAGGCAGTGGAAGACAGGAGTGCCTGGCATGCTCTGGTCCATGGGGTCACGAAGAGTCGGACACGACTAAACGACTAAACAACAACAACAAAGCTTTGGTCTGCACTTCAGAGTGCAGGTGTGGGATCACATGACTAGCAATTTCTTCAAACAAAATCCCTGCATATTGAAAACCAGCTGTCAGGCAGAATGGTTCTAGTGGTTTAGAACTGCAGATTAATCCAGAATAGCAAGAGGGAAAGTTTTGCAGTGCTTTAGAGATGAACAATGTTATTGCGGCTAGGCCTTTTATCTCCAGCGGCATTCATGCTGTATATAGAATACTCTGGATACCTAACATTATCTTGATTTATCTTTATTCAACTGATGAAGGACAAAACTTGTGCTACAGCAAAGTAGTTAGAGCCTCAAGGCATCTTTTTGTGTTCTATTTATTATCTAACTAGATTAGCATATGCCCTCTTCAGCTCCATCTCTAAATTACAGGAAGCTCTCCTTGCTGGTAATGCATTCGCCACTTGGAAATAATACCTGTCTCATGATGGGAATGAGCAGATAGCCATCAAAATTTAAATGGGTGGAAATTAATAACACTGCTGATGTTCTATAACTATAGTTGAAGCATCTTTCTCATGAATGAGAAATAGCACATTTGAAGAACATTGTTTATTTTAGACAATTTTTTTTGGAACCTTAATTTCCCCCCCTAAGGTGGCTTACAAAAGGAGAGAATGAAATAAAATGATACTTTAAAATAGCGCACTAACAGGCTATACAGGGAAGCTAAGATAAGGACATGCAGAAACCCATCTTCTGAATTTCCATCTCATATAGCGTTCTGATAACCGTATCCTCAAACTGCCCTTTAATCTTTTTAGAGTAGAGAGAGAGAGAACCAACATTGTTTTCCTTTAAAAAACCAAACTCTTCCTTCAAATTACATTTCAAACGAAAAGGGTAAGGGTTTAAAAAGTCGTTTGGAGGCAAACGGGTGCCATTTTTCGGAGAGAAATGTTGCACATGTGGATTATGAATGCATGTTCCTTGGAATTCTGGTGCACGTATGGTGCCGTGCTTTCAGATAAGATGTTTTGATAGTTAAATCAAACGTCCTTCTGTAAAGTTTAAATAGTTTTGAACTCTTTGCACTCTTTTCTTGCTTTACTGTTTTAGAACTCTTTGAAAATGAACATGTACGTATTGGTCAGAAAGGTAAGAATTGGATACTGACTGTAAACAAATTACAAGTGTTTTAAGTTTTTCTGTGGGTTTTCTTTGTTTTGTCTGGTATGAAGTGTAATAAGGCTGTAATTCTAAATACTAGAAATTAAGTACCACTGGAATCATTGGGATTTCCTTCAGAGTAAACATCCATAGAATTGCACTGTAAATGATGTAAAATAAAAAATGTAACTTGTACCTTTTTGACATGATGGAACTGCTAGAGGTTTATAGGTTCTAGATAAAGAGTGTCACAGCTGGCAGATTAAAAACGAAGTGTGTGTGTGTGTGTGTGTGTGTGTGTGTGTTTATGACAGCTTTATTCCAAATTGCTGAATTCCTGTTTTGAATTCTATTTTAAAATCACCAGAGTTGCTTCTGTGCACAAAGAACTCTCATTAGTGTTAATGGAGTTTATGTCCCTGCATCAGATAAGAATATAACTTTAATTCTTCCAGGTGGTTAGTTGCTAGTGCAAAACCTAATGAAACACGTAGCACTAAGTCAGCTTGCAGGATGGTTATGCCCTTTCAAATAAGGTCATTATTCTACCAGTTGAAAGGAAATCAACCCTACGCCTTAATTAAAAGGAATCAAACTCACATGGAACAAATTATTTTTTCTCTGCCTTTCCTTTCACAAGAGTGACTGTGAAAGGAATTAGGCCATGCCCATGTCCTCCTCAATGATAGAATGATCTCGATACGAATCGAAGGCAGACCTTTTAACATCACAGTAATCCAAGTTTATGCACCAACTACTGGTGCTGAAGAAACTGAAATTGACCAATTCTATGAAGACTTACAACACCTTATAGAAGTGACACCAAAGAAGGATGTTCTTCTCGTTATAGGGGACTGGAATGCTAAAGTAGGGAGGCAAGAGATAAAAGGAACAACTGGCAAGTTTGGCCTTGGAGATCAAAACGAAGCAGGGCAAAGGCTAATAGAGTTCTGTCAAGAGAACAAGCTGGTCATCACAAACACGCTTTTCCAACAACACAAGAGACGACTCTACACATGGACATCACCAGATGGGCAGCATCGAAATCAGATTGATTATATTCTCTGCAGCCAAAGATGGAGAAGCTCTATACAGTCAGCAAAAACAAGACCTGGAGCTGACTGTGGCTCAGATCATCAGCTTCTTATAGCAAAATTCAAGCTTAAACTGAAGAAAGTAGGAAACACCACTGGGCCGGTAAGATACAATCTAAGTCAAATCCCTTATGAATACACAGTGGAAGTGAGGAACAGGTTTAAGGATTTAGATTTGGTGGACAGAGTGCCTGAAGAACTATGGATGGAGGCTCGTAACATTGTACAGGAGGCAGCAACGAAAACCATCCCAATGAAAAGGAAATGCAAGAAAGCAAAGTGGCTGTCCAACGAGGCCTTACAAATAGCGGAGGAGAGAAGGCAAGCAAAATGCGAGGGAGATAGTGAAAGATACAGGAAATTGAATGCAGATTTCCAAAGAATAGCAAGGAGAGACAAGAAGGCCTTCTTAAACGAGCAATGCAAACAAATAGAGGAAAACAACAGAATGGGAAGAACCAGAGATTTGTTCAAGAAAATTGGAGATATGAAAGGAACATTTCGTACAAAGATTACCATAATAAAGGACAAAAGTGGTAAGGACCTAACAGAAGCAGAAGACATCAAGAAGAGGTGGCAAGAATACACAGAAGAATTATACCAGAAAGATATGGATGTCTTGTACACCCCAGGTAGTGTGGTTGCTGACCTTGAGCCAGACATCCTGGAGAGTGAAGTCAAATGGGCCTTAGAAAGCACTGCAAATAACAAGGCCAGTGGAAGTGATGGTATTCCAGCTGAACTATTTAAAATTTTAAAAGATGATGCTGTTAAGGTGCTACACTCAATATGCCAGCAAATTTGGAAAACTCAGCAGTGGCCAGAGGATTGGAGAAGATCAGTCTACATCCCAGTCCCAAAGAAGGGTAGTGCCAAAGAATGCTCCAACTACCGCACAATTGCACTCATTTCACACGCTAGCAAGGTTATGCTTAAAATTCTACAAGGAAGGCTTAAGCAGTATGTGGATCGAGAACTCCCAGAAGTGCAAGCTGGATTTAGAAGAGGCAGAGGAACCAGAGACCAAATTGCAAACATGCGCTGGATTATGGAGAAAGCTAGAGAGTTCCAGAAAGACATCTACTTCTGCTTCATTGACTATGCAAAAGCCTTTGACTGTGTCGACCACAGCAAACTATGGCAAGTTCTTAAAGAAATGGGAGTGCCTGATCACCTCATCTGTCTCCTGAGAAATCTCTATGTGGGACAAGAAGCTACAGTTAGAACTGGATATGGAACAACTGATTGGTTCAAAATTGGGAAAGGAGTACGACAAGGCTGTATTTTGTCTCCCTGCTTATTTAATTTATATGCAGAATACATCATGCGAAAGGCTGGGCTGGATGAATCCCAAGCTGGAATTAAGATTGCCGGAAGAAATATCAACAACCTCAGATATGCAGATGACACAACCTTGATGGCAGAAAGTGAGGAGGAATTAAAGAACCTTTTAATGAGGGTGAAAGAGGAGAGCACAAAATATGGTCTGAAGCTCAACATCAAAAAAACGAAGATCATGGCCACTGGTCCCATCACCTCCTGGCAAATAGAAGGGGAAGAAATGGAGGCAGTGAGAGATTTTACTTTCTTGGGCTCCATGATCACTGCAGATGGTGACAGCAGCCACGAAATTAAAAGACGCCTGCTTCTTGGGAGAAGGGCAATGACAGGCCTAGACAGCATCTTGAGAAGTAGAGACGTCACCTTGCCAACAAAGGTCCGTATAGTTAAAGCCATGGTTTTCCCAGTAGTGATGTATGGAAGTGAGAGCGGAACCATCAAGAAGGCTGATCGCCGAAGAATTGATGCTTTTGAATTATGGTGCTGGAGAAGACTCTTGAGAGTCCCATGGACTGCAAGAAGATCAAACGCATCCATTCTTAAGGAAATCAGCCCTGAGTGCTCACTGGAAGGACAGATCGTGAAGCTGAGGCTCCAATACTTTGGCCACCTCATGAGAAGAGAAGACTCCCTGGAGAAGACACTGATGCTGGGAAAGATGGAGGGCACAAGGAGAAGGGGGCGACAGAGGACGAGATGGTTGGATAGTGTTTTCGAGGTTACCAGCATGAGTCTGACGAAACTGCGGGAAGTAGTGGAGGACAGAGGTGCCTGGCGTGCTCTGGTCCATGGGGTCACGAAGAGTTGGACATGACTAAACGACTAAACAACAACAACAACAATGTCCTCCTCTTCTAAATTATATTAAAAGACAGCATGACAACTATGATAATTTGGGGTGTGAGGAGAGAAAACCCAAAATGACATGCCAGGTCCAGTCGTGACTGACTCTGGGGTTGCGGCGCTCATCTCGCTTTATTGGCCGAGGGAGCCAGCGTACAGCTTCCAGGTCATGTGGCGAGCATGACTAAGCCGCTTCTGGCAAACCAGAGCAGTGCACGGAAACGCCGTTTACCTTCCCGCCGGATTGGTACCTATTTATCTACTTGCACTTTGACGTGCTTTTGAACTGCTAGGTTGGCAGGAGCAGGGACCGAGCAACAGGAGCTCACCCCATCCTGGGGATTTGAACTGCCGATCTTCTGATCTGCAAGCCCTAGGCTCTATGGTTTAACCCACAGCGCCACCCACGTCCCATGAACAATAATCTGTCGCCATAATTGCTAAGGTGCTTCATCAGAGAACAAATACTCTTCATCCTTGATTCTAGGGATGTTTTGAGGTGTGAAAAGAACACAACAAAAAAAGCTGGTACTGTGTTCATGCTGATATATATTTCTTGAATATGGGCACTCGCATCTGCTATTCATTTCTGCCACTTGCAAGTGAGCTGAGCCCCTCAGTTTAGGAGATAATATGCAAACTGGGCATACATGTGATGACTCCATGCACATCTTTTTTCGTGTATATGGCACATGCTATTGAAGGGTGGCATTAATAAAACACACCTCTACTTAAAACTACTTTGGCCTTACATAAAGGACAAAAGCACTTCCAAACTGAAAAGGTTCCCTTTAATTAGCCCACCAGACCCAATAAGTATTTCAGAAATCTTATGATCAATGGCTTGAATCCTAAATTGCACAATCAGTTGCCTCGCCATTTTTCACACATACCATCTGCAGCCTAACACACCTCAGACACTATGGATATGGAAGATTTGGAGATTCTTGAAAGTGACTTTTCAGAGGGTTCAGGGACTTGCAGATGGTAGAGAATTGGTGAGCTGCAGAAATACCTGCCATTCACACAATGGAATTTTTGTACAAAACAAATGGATAAGAGTAGTATTTAATTTGAATTATTTGAAGTTCTACAGCACCCAAATAGGTTTTTAAAGCATTTTCTGAAGGCGAGCAGTAATGATGCACTGTGTACCACAGTTGGCAACAGGTTCTATAGCTGTAGTGCCACAGTTGGAAAAGGTTTGAAAAATAGTGTGAACGTGCCAGAAGTGAAGAGAACACACAGAATTTATTTTTAGAAATACTAAATAATGTCTGAAACTAATATTACTAATCCATGGCAATCAGCTTGGTGATTCAAGACATTTATTATCGTTACGTTAACTGAGAGTACAGTCCTATATATTAACCATAGTAAGCCTCCCAAAACGCAGTGTGATTTACTTCTGAGTAGATGTGTACAGAACCGTGCTGTAAATGTGACTTCTAACCAAATATGGTATTCTTAGCTTTAAAATCCCCTCAATTTTGAAAACTTACTTTGTGTGATTCAGCCTCCGATTCTGCACAGGCTTCATATTCTACATAGATCTGTGTGGAATAGCCAAAAAAAAAAAAGATAGGTTTTCCCCCCCTGCCATCTTAAATGGTGTTGGAGGAACACTTAAATGAAATGCTAATAAAATATAAAACTGAAATATGTTTGTATGTCTTTTGTGTGTATTATTAACACCTGCATTTCTTGTAGTTTTAATGGAGCAGGATAGTGCAGCAGCTCAACAATATGTCCGGCAGGGATGTCCAAATTTGCTACGAGCCGAGTTGTGGGCCCTGATTCTGAACGTTTCCAGTCAACCCGAGGTAAGTAGCAAAATTGCAGTAAAAATGTAGACTTGCAGTAGCTACATGCCCAATAGCTAAATTATAAACAATGTTTGGCTGCGTTATTAAGCGTGATGCTAGTTTTGGTTTATTGCGCACAAGGTCACACAAGGGTGTTTGTGCTCATTTAACAACGTTTTTCTGACTTTTTAAAATCTGAACCTCGCTTTCCCTAGTTTATTTTGCATGCCCAGGTGGAGACCCCTGCCCCCCCCCCACCAGAGACAGCCCAAGAGCAATGAAACACACATGACAACGTGTTTGGGGATTTAAAATGGCCACAACTTTATTATCAGTTTCAAATGTCGGAAACCTTGGCTTAGGCATTGGGCGTGTATCCCTCTCAGATCCCCAACCCGGGGGACTGAGGCATGGCAGGGTTAATTGGATCGGAGGGGGAACTGCAAAACACATATTTACACAGCAAGCCCCCCCCCCGTGCAGAACTGGTTTATTGACAACCTATCACCGTACAGCCAGTGACTCCCTTCACGCAAAACCCTTTAACGGGGAACCCTGAAATGCCACCGCAGGGTGTGTATGTGACCACTGCACGCCCCCCTTTAGGAATGATAGATGAAAAGATTCCGCCCAAGGCATAAAACCACCACCTGAGACCATGAAATTGCGGTCTCACCAACAAGACAACCTACAACTGAAAAAAAACCCTCAGCATCCTGACAACCAATCCTGCAGGCAACACCTGATACCGTCCAAACAGAGTTCATTCCCTAAGGTGGTCAGGTGCACCCTGTCAGGTCTGAATACAGTGGTGCCCCGCAAGACGAATGCCTCGCAAGACGGAAAACCCGCTAGACGAAAGGGTTTTCCGTTTTGGAGGTGCTTCACAAAACGAATTTCCTATGGGCTTGCTTCGCAAGACAAAAATGTCTTTCGAGTTCCTGCAGGGTTTCCCCCCCCTTTTCCCCAAGCCGCTAAGCCGCTTATCAGCTGATCCGCTAAGTCGCTAAGCCGCTTAACAGCTGATCCGCTAAGCCGCTTAACAGCTGATCGCTAAGCCGCTTATCAGCTGATCCGCTAAGCCGCTTAACAGCTGATCCGCTAAGCCGCTTATCAGCTGATCCGCTAAGCCCGCTAAGCCGCTAATAGCGCTAATCCGCTAAGCCGCTAATGGGGTTGCTTCGCAAGACGAAAAAACCGCAAGACGAAGAGACTCGCGGAACGGATTCTTTTCGTCTTGCGAGGCACCACTGGGTTTGATGTCCTCATGGTGAACCACTCGGCAGCCAAGACGTATAATTGCAGAGCAGACGGCCCAGTTAATTTTTACCACCGTGTAGTTCAGTCTGGAAGGTTTAAGGGCACCCTGCCATTGCAAGCACGGAAGACGTTCGGACCACATATTACTGTACTCTGAACTTGGAGTGGTAGCCCTGCAGGTGCTCATCCACTTCCTAGAGCTCCCATGACTTTGCCCTGCCTCATTCCCATCCTCACAGTGCAGAGGCTCTGCAAGGATGCTGAGGCTGCTTTCGCTGCCCCCGTGCCTCTCTCCCCATAGACCACTGCTGCTGTGTTACGCTTTCCGTGTGTGTCCTGTCTCTACAAAAGTTGCAGAGCTTGCTGCCGTTTGGTTGGTTCATGGGGTCACGAAGAGTTGGACATGACTAAACGACTAAACAACAACAACAACAAATATTTATTTTAGATTTTGTTGCGATTGCATAGAAATTATTCAGTTTGGTTTTGTATTTTTTTAATGTCTTCTTTAGAGTTTATGACTACTTTTGTTGTATTGTTTTTATGTATTGTTTTTATGTTGTAAGCCATCTTGAGCATAGTTTGAACTGTGGAAAGGCAGCATACAAATAAAATTATGTCTCTGTGTGTAGAACTGTGTACAGTGGTACCTCAGGTTACATACGCTTCAGGTTACACATGCTTCAGGTTACAAACTCTGCTAACCCAGAAATAGTGCTTCAGGTTAAGAACTTTGCTTCAGGATGAGAACAGAAATTGTGCTCTGGCGGCGCAGCGGCAGTGGGAGGCCCCATTAGCTAAAGTGGTGCTTCAGATTAAGAACAGTTTCAGGTTAAGAATGGACCTCCGGAATGAATTAAGTACTTAACCCGAGGTACCACTGTAAGTTGAACGTTTCAAATAAGAGAAACCTATTCCTTGCTGTAAAAAATTGACATACCATGGAATGACATAAATGACCTCCCCTCTGGAGTAACACTACTTCTCTTACCTCCCCAATACTTTTCCAGCTTCTGTTCTTGTCTCTGCTGCCCAACTTTTTGCTTCAGTATTTTTTCTGAACATGCCACCTAGCCTGTGCTTCTTTTCACTTGCCTTGCTTACTTCCTCAACTGCTCCAGATAATTTCCCGAGCCTTCTTGCCACATCACGCCTTATTCCTATTGGAAATGGGCTTCTCCATACGTCTTCTTTCCTTTCTTTCTACAGCACTGTGGGGTAGCTGCTTCTTTCTGCTTTTGAATATGTGCAGGTATCCTCATATGTTCCTGTACTCAAACTGCCTCCCTGCACAGATTAGGCAGTGGCATAAGTATCACATTCAGCTATCGGGTAGGGCCTGTGACATCATTACTGATAAGCCACGCAACTCCCCTTCTTGCATATTCTGTTTCGTGTGTGTGTGTGTGTGTGTATCTTCTTCTTCTTCTTTGGCGATCACTCATAGCCTAGTAAGATTGTCTTCCATAAACACAGTTTTAACAGTGAGTCTGTAAGTGACTATGGAGGCCAGTTCTGGATCCACAGGTCCTTCCCCAGCGGGGACAGAGGTTTTTGGGTGAGAGTTGATCACAGTGAGGGTTTGGCAAGCGTGCCTTCCTCTTATCACGTTTCTCTCTTTCATCCTGAGTTCAAACCCATGACACCTTTGGTAAAGGCTGTTCTCTGATTGGAGGCACTCCCAGGCCAGTGTTTCCCAGTTGTCGGTGTTTATACTACAGTTTTTCAGATTTGCCTGGAGAAAGTCTTTAAGCCTCTTTTGTTTGACCACCAGCGTTACACTTTCCATTTTTAAGTTCGGAATAGAGTAGTTGCTTTGGAAGACGATAATCAGGCATCCGGACAACATGACCATATATTTTACTTTATCTTTGCTCATTTTGCTTTATGTTTGCTGTTTGGTTAATGTGCTGCTCTACCTCTCCGCTGCAGTAAACGTTGCTTTAATTTTTCTTTAAAATGCCCAACACGTCCTAGCTAAAGAGATCATGACTTTATTAGTCTTCCTTTTAATAGAGACAGAGTATCGTGCTACATGCTTGATACTGTAGATATGAAGGTATTATTTTCAGTTAATTGAAATTAAGAGTACTGTAAGGGATGGACAGATGATGAATAAGTGGCATGCATGGGTGCATGAGAAAGAGAAAGAATGTATATTATTCCTTGTTATACATGATTGGGAGTGGATTGACAATAAGATGATAGCTGTATCTAATGATGAAAACAGACTTCAGTATTTTAAAAGCACTATTGGAAAAGATTTTGCTAAGCTTAGGGGAAAATGTTTGGCTTTTTGGTGCATATACTTAAATCAGACCATCAAGAATAAATAATCCAAGAAGTAATGGTTTATACATTGTTGAAAGAGAAAGCACTGCTTTTGTCATAATGAAAAACATTGTGCCAATGTTGTGATGGCTAATTAACTCTGAATTGTTCCAAATTATTCTGACAGTTAAAGCCTTGCTTATTTCCTCTTTTCTAATAGTAAATGGATGAGAGAGATTTATTGTAATTGGCTGACTTCACTACATACCACAGTAGTGGTACCATATTTGTGGTATTTTTGTCTTAATTTGTCAAGTAAAATATCTAAAGAAATGGTCAGTTCAGGCTGCCACACTGCAACTAATTGAAACTGCTCCAACAGTGCCCTAGCTCACTGCCATGCAGTTCTGTCTTATCAGATGATCTGTCCTTAATCTTGCCAATCATAGCTAGAAGCAGTTTACAGCGTTGTGCAGACAAGCAACCAAGTATGAACCTTGCCCGTAGCAGGAAATGTTACGGGTTGGGGAGCTAACGGTTATGATGGAGTCATTGTAAGTCAATGTGAAACACCCAAAACCCAATATGTCAGCTCGCAAACAGTTTTTTCTGTGGACCAATTGGAAATTGCCAGAGTCTCAGGCCATGTAATATATTTTTTTCTTTGTTGAACGTATTAAAGTACACATCTAGGTTACCATAGTCTTTTAGGGGAAATAAGTCAACTGTTCCAGCATTTATATTATGAAGATCATTGCCCAAGACTAAAGCCGCCTTAGCCTGTTTGATAATCTGGCTCTGATTTTAAAAAATAAATTGTGTCAGATGGGATGAAGATATTCTCAACTACAGTTGTACCTAGGTTTTTAACAGCTTAGTTCTCAAAGGTTTTGGCACGTGAATGCTGCAAACCCAGAAGTCACTGTTCCGGTTTGTGAACTATTTTTGGAAGCCGAACATCTGACGGGGCTTCCACTGCTTCCGATTGGCTGCAGGAGCTTCCTGCAGCCAATCAGAAGCCGTGTTTTGGTTTCTGAATGTTTTGGAAGTCGAATGGACTTCCGGAACGGATTCCGTTCGACTTCCAAGGTACGACTGTACTGTGAAGCCTTTTCACAGACTGCTGAATGGAACTTGCATACCTCCAGTGGTCCATAGTTTGAGAACTTCTGGCATGGCTAATCTGATAACACAAGAAGAATCTCTTTGGATTAAGACCAAAACCCTTTCTAATCCCATCAGTCTGTTTCCCACAGGAGATAACCAGAAGCCAATGGGAACCTCAAAATCAAGACATGAGGGGAGCAGTAGACCCCTGCTTGTGTTTTCCAGCAATTGGCAATCAGAGGATCTGTGATCCTGGCAGAAGCATATAGCCATCATGACCTTGATCGACTTATCCTCCATGACTTTTTCTAATGCCCCTTGAAAGCCTCCTAAACTGTGTCACCACATCTTGAGGGAGCCAGAGAAAGAAATATTTTGTT